TATGTTGTTTCACTCTCACTGCTCTCATCAAACAAGGAGAAAAATATCCTCAGTACACTAAGTTACATATTCAGGAAGCTCCAAGCAAACTACAATAGCTGCTGAGTACAGTGGAACATTGTTCAGCTAAAATTACAGTATCGCTCACATACATATTTTGTTTCACTCTCACTGCTCTCATCAAACAAGGAGAAAAATATCCTCAGTACACTAAGTTACATATTCAGGAAGCTCCAAGCAACTACAGTAGCTGCTGAGTACAGTTGTTCAGCTAAAAGTCCAGATACATACTATAGTTTGCACAGCAGTTAGTGACCACATATACAGGTTAAAGAAGCGTGGATATGAACCTTGTGACATAAAACATTTGTTTGAAATGTTGCTCTGTCTACTGACTGTTTGCTAACAGGTCTACTAAATCAGCTCTTTAAGATGATGTGTCATTGTTTTGTTTGCACCTTTGACTAGACTTAATGCATACAAGTTTAAACAAATATCACTGATCTCACCTTAAATTTCACTCCTATCTGCTCACTTTCAGCTTGGTCAGGTCTTGCGAAGCCCCTTCATGAAATTCGTAGCTCACGCTGTTTCTTTCACCATCTTCTTGGGTCTGCTGGTCATCAACGCTTCCGACCGCTTTGAGGGGGTCAAGAACCTGCCCAATGAGACCATCACAGACCACCCACGACAGGTATTCCGGGTCAAGACCACCCAGTTCTCCTGGACAGAGATGTTGATCATGAAGTGGGTGTTGGGTGAGTCATGTTCTGACACACACACATACATACATATAGTGTACCAGTATTTTAAAATCTGACACTGTCACTGTCAAGGCAGGTTGACCATCATGATGAGTAATAACCATGACATGGCATGTACAGTAAGAAAGTCCAGACAAAAGGTTTCCTAGTGAATTTTCTTTTTGAATCGCATTTTAATCAGTATAGATGGTACTGTATGCCATCAAGATGCAGCAGAGGGGGTTTATGGTGATTTTTCTGCCAGAGTTTTTTTATGCTAATCCAAAGTATCCTCTTTTACTACAGCACATCTTTCCCATAAATCAGAAGAGTTGCTGGAAAGAACCAGTGAACGTTTTTACCTAACTTTGATATGAAGAAGAATTAAAGATTTTTGCAGCACCACACCCACCAAGTGGATGAAAGTCAAAGTTATTCCAATATAACAATTTATTCTCTTTTATCTTACAGAGATCAAATAGAAGTGTCCTAGTGGGATGCAGGGTGGCACGGTGAACAGTGGTTAGCACTGCTGCCTCATGAAGGTCTTGGGTTCAAGCCCCGGCCAACCCGGTTCCTTTCTGTGCAAAGTTTGCATGTTCTCCTTGTGCCTGTGTGGGTTCTCTCCGGGTACTCTATTAGAGGGTGGAAGAGAAAAGGAGGAAAGAGGGGAATGGTTGGGGTTAAAATGCAAGGTGGAGTGGATAGTATACAAGAAGACAGGCATGAAGAAACAGTGAGATGGAAGGCCAGGTGACAGACAGATAAAGACAACAGATAAATAGCTCATGGCAATCTGTCAGACCTCAGCTGTTTCCCATCTACTGATGCTCTCCCTTGTATCGACACACACACACACATATAATACTGTTACCTCTGTGTGGTTTGTTTACTGTATGTTGATGCACATATGGTTTTGTTTTAATTTGTTTATGGCACCATTCTTTTCTCATCCATGGTCATTTTTGGCAGCAGGTGCTTGTGTGTGTTTTTGTGCAAGCGTGTGTGTGTGTGTGTGTGTGTGTGTGTGTGTATGCAGTGATTGGCTTCTGTAGACCAGGGTAATTGTAATTCCAGCAGCATGCTTTGAAAGCCCAATAATTGTTATAGAGATGATAGTGATCAGGGCTTCTGTTCAGTAAGCAATTTTCTCCCTGTTTTGGCTCCAAATGGAGAATGACAGAGTGGTTGCAGAGGAGGAATTAGCTTTTCCATTGAATGTGTTTGTGTATGTGTGTTTGTAAGCACCTGAGCTGTAAGTGGGGATGTCTGACTGGTTGGGTATAAATTATAAGCTTACTGTAACTTTTCATCATCTGTGTATGTGCAATTTTGTGTGTATGTGTATCCGTGCATGCTTAAGTGAGTGCCTCTGAGAATGTCTTTGTGTTTATATTTATCTTGTTTTCCACAAAGTATTGTGTTAATATGTATGCATCCTGGTGTGTGTATCTGCTTCCTTAGGCATGATTTGGTCAGAATGTAAGGAAATCTGGAGCGACGGGCCCAGAGAGTACGTCATGCACCTTTGGAATGTTCTGGATTTTGGAATGTTGTCCATCTTTGTGGCATCCTTCACAGCACGCTTAATGGCATTCCTCAAGGCATCCAAAGCCCAGCAGTATGTGGACATGCACATACCAGATGAAGACCTCAGCAGTGCCTCACTGCCTGATGAAGTTGCCTACTTCACCTATGGTAAATAGTTACTCCCAAAATATAAAAAATAATAATGCCAGTAATTGAGCCTGCATTCCTTTGATCACTATTCACAGTCACTCTCCTGTTTTGCTCCATTGTCTGGCTTTCTTGGAAATATATAAAACTTCACAGAACATAGACACTTTCATTTTACTTCCACAACCAAAACTCCTCTTCACCATATTAAAATTTGCCACAGGCTGCAGGTTACTGGACTCTACACCTCTTAGTGGCTTTCTATAAAGAACCTTCATCAGTGCTGTCATCTGCTGGTCTGACTCTGTCATGACAGACCAGTAAATACAATAGTGTGTATTGTATATTACCACAGTATCAGTTATAATCCCCCATGGCTCCATATCTGCACTGAAAAGTCTATTATTTGTACTTACTCCTTGTCCTAGCTATATGCAGTTCGACAACAAATCAATGGAGTACACATTTTCCTTCCTTACTTGTCTATTTGGGGTCTTTGCTTTATGGATCTCCTTTATATATCATTTTTCTACTTAGCTCAATCCCCCCTTCTACATGACTGACTGTGCGTCTTTCTGCAGCTTCCTGTTCGTCTCTCTCTGTCCTTACTTCTCTTTGGACACACTTTCCCTTTATCCCATCTCTTTGCTGGCTACCAGTCTCATAGTCATTACTTCCCCTCTGTTCATCATCTCTTTATTCATCTATGTATTGTACCTTCTCCTCCATCAGAACATATCTTCCTAAAAGCCAGAATCATGCTGCTTCGGAGCATCTCTTGCAAACACTGATATCACACTGTAACCAGTCATTTGGTCTGTACATACAGTGCACTATACAAAACAAGACCTTGAAGAACAAGTAAATGAGTCCATATTTTCACCACAGGAACAGTAGATAATGAGGTAACACTTCTACTGCCATCACCCCCTAGCATTTGTAAGCATTGTATAAACATTTAATGAATAGTTTATACCACATTATAATGTAATTGTAGTTAGTCATACAAGCTAAATATAGGGGGTTAATCTTAAACCAGCTTTGAACCAGTTGTCTCAATTTAATATCAGAAAGATTTAAACTCTGAATGCATAAAAGTAGTTGTGGATGGACATGCATTACTAATATTAGCCACTCCAACCTGGGAATAAGTTCAAGTACTCTCCTCAATTAACACATTGTTTGGTTGTCTAGGGCTTCCAGGGCATTATGTCGTACATACAGTCACACCAGTGTGGGCTGGCCTCAACGCCTAGCCAGGGGTTCACACTCTGCTCTCCTGACCAACATGCTCTCCAGCTGCCACGGCTCTGCTACTGGTTCCCAGTGACGATGTCCTGTGACCAGTTGGTCTGCCACTCAGCATTCCTCCACAAACACTGCTCTGTGTTCTTGTCTGTTCCCTGTGTGTGGTATTAAATCATTTAGTAGTTAACAAAGATAAAATAAAAGCTCTTTCATGGGGAAATGATAGCAAGTTCTCACACATCAGCTGTGCATGATTTGATTAACAATGAACTGTTCCTTTGTCTCTTTTCCTTGTCCCTCTCTTTCCTGTCTACTCTAACTCTGAATTCTCCCACTGCATCACTCTTGTGTCACCAACATGATGGTCTTTTATAACGTTGGGCTTATTCAGTAATTGTTTAGCCTACACCCTCTCCCAGCCATTAATCAGAGTGGAAAGGGACTGGGACATGATTACACTGGTCTACAATTTTTATAAAATGGTTTTGTGCTCTGAATTGAATGTGCTTATATTGATGGATTTTGAGGTGCTGAGTTCAAATGCAAACTTTAAAAGAGCTGATTGGCTAGAGTTTTTAGGTTTTTGTCCATTTATGTTTTATGCCAGTGTACAAAAAACTGACTGGCATGTAATGATTATGACACCATTTGATTTCAGGAGGAAATATGGGCTGATATTTACAAGAGAGTTTGATGTTCTCGTTTTGCAATTTCAGACATTATTTTCATTTTCAGTGCCCTAGAATTAGAAAAGATTGCTTATTTTTCTTTTGGGTGTACAGTATTCTGGTTGTGCACCAGCGTTATACTTGTTATTTCAACATTAGCTTAGGAGCTATACTTGCATATTTCTTTCATGAGATTTTAGTTGAATTATAAAAGAATTTACAAGGATGAAATGTGAGCAGAGGTCATTTTCATTGTTTGAGCGGGTATTAAAAATTTACCTTGAACTCAAACATTTACACTTCAAACCGAAGAGCATTCATATGTGCCTGCTCAGCTACTTGTCTTTTTCTTTTTCCTCCTCCTCCTCCAGCCAGGATCAAGTGGCGCCCCTCTGATCCCCAGATCATCTCAGAAGGCCTGTATGCTATTGCTGTGGTGCTGAGTTTCTCACGCATCGCCTACATCCTACCAGCCAATGAGAGCTTCGGCCCACTGCAGATCTCTCTAGGACGCACAGTGAAAGACATCTTCAAGTTCATGGTTATCTTCATCATGGTGTTTGTGGCCTTCATGATTGGCATGTTCAACCTGTATTCGTACTACCTGGGAGCCAAGTACAATCCTGCCTTCACCACGTGAGTTGGCTGCATTGAATGGTTTGGTTTGTGACTGCATGACCAGACAATGGCTGTGTCTAAATGTATTGTATGTAATTATGTCTGCCCCTTTCATACCCACCTTTACAAACAAATCTCAGAAAGGCAAACATGGCAGAGCTACATGATGATTCCGGTGCTGGTCATGTTACCACAGAACTGACAGCAAAAGAAGAAAAAAGAATTTATCTCAAGAGCATCTGATTTATGTTCCATATTACTGTTATTGCTAGACAATAGAACATGGAAATCCCCAGGACAATATAAATTGTCACATCCTCACTGATGAAACAGTTGGATTCATTAAATCCATGGTGCTTTATCACTGGCAGGGATCAAACTTTAATCTCCCCTCAGGCACAATGCTGGCAATCTGGCGGGCTGGTTACATAAGGAGGATCATGAATGATGTTCTTTTATTCCTTAAAATTTTTAACAAAAAGTGACGAGTTGTTGTTGTTGTTGTTGTATCTCACAGCTTTAACAAAGTAGGTAGGGAGCTAGCCTTTTCTCCAGCACCATTTTATATTTACTGCACTGTATAAGATGAATCAACGCTATTTTATCTGTACTATAAACATAAAAACTTTTGATCAAAATTAAAATGGAAGTGAAAGTCGGATGGCAAGTGTCAGTGAGAGGTATTAGTGGCAGATTATGTCTGAGCTGTGGGAAAACTGTGTCAATACTGGCACTATTTAAACACCTATATAATGATCTCTGATATGACAAGCTGGCAATGCTGAAGCAAGACATCTTGACCTATTGATTTAAAAAAAAATCCATTTCAGATCAATATGGATTTTCAAGTAAGCAGAGAACAAGACAAGCTTTTGGAGATGTCTTGAGTTTTGCAGAAGTTTTTGATGCCTGTCCAGAGTACTCAGTAAAGTTTTTCTGTGGTATTATACCTTTTCCATCATTTAATAAAGTGCCACAGTGAGTTTTATCAGCCAACTCTAATCTGAAGCAGGGTGTAACATACCAACGAAGTGGTTGGCAGTGATATGATGGAGACATTATACCAAATGGCAGCTATCCATGCACAATTAAAGGGCAGACTTCATCCAAAACTTTTCCTGATTTTAACAACAAACCCTTCAAGAACAGATCCACATCTTTATATTGTATCTCTATGCTATACTCACCTGCCATATGTACATAAACTCCTCTCCATACTGGTCATGAAGCACTCAAGCATGACTACGTTGTAGATCAGAAGGAACAAAATCCTTGTTCTGGCTTCAGTAGTCTGAGTTAAATCAAGTGGGACAACTCCTCTCCATACTGGTCATGAAGCAGTCAAGCATGACTATGTTGTAGATCAGAGGGAACAAAATCCTTGTTCTGGCTTCAGCAGTCTGAGTTAAATCAAGTGGGAAAGGCTCTTGTTGTATGTGATAATTGAAAATCATCCAACTGAAATTACAGTGAGGGTGATAACAACACTAAGTACTTTAAATGCACATTGCCTGTTAAAGTGCTGCATTCAACATAATTATCAGGGTCATTTATTTCAAAAGGTGAAGTGCACATTTAGTCACCTCAAAGTTAAAGGCTGTGATGCATTCAAGCAAACATACAGAGCCTTAAATATGTTATTTCACTTGTTAAGCATTATCCACATCAATGACTTGAAGTCTTTAAATGTTATTGTGGTATTTATACAGTGCATTCAAGTTGTTGTGTTATATATTGCACTGCATGTAAAGCAGTCAACCTGTCCACCATGTCCTGAAGCCCATCAATCTGAGTGACAGAGGATCTGCCTCCTCCTTCATTTTAGCGTATCCATATCTCCACCTGTTCAGCCTTTCACATCGGCTGCAATCAGAGTGACAGTGGATCTTTCACTGTCATTGTCTTAAATGTGTAGGGACATTATCCATCCTGGGCCACTGACAGAATCTTTCAGCAAGTCTGTTTATCATCATGCATTGCAAAATGAAAACTCTCTTTGAGGTTTCTTTCTGTCACAGCATTCTATATCTGCTCAGTCCAGTACAGCAATACACGCTTTACAAGTTAGTTTGTAATGATGTTGTCACATACTGTCCTTTTTAATTACTAACCAGAGTGGAAAGTTCTGTGAGGTATAGGTTTTACCTACAGAGAGGTTTAAATTCATTCTCCACCTTTAGTGGAGCATAATGGTCTTGTCTATAGTCTTTTGGAGGATTTACCTTTCAGAGTGTTCATATTAGCGAAGAAAATGTGACTTCAGTTTCTGTCCTCAGTTAATTTTGTTAAAGCAAGCTTTCAGCTATGGCCAACCGCTGTCAACATCTGTCTCATCATTAGCACAAACCTTGTGCTGTGAGCTTGTTTGCTGTTGCTGTTTTGGAGTACTCCCAGTAATTAACACAATGGTCTCATGCACAGTTTGCTTGCATAAAAACAGAACTGGCACCTAAGCTGAAGGAGTCAACATGATAAAGTTACAAGAGAATTGTCACCACATTGTTGTTTCTAGTTGTGTTGGCAAGTTATACAATGATTGTGTGGCAGTTTTCCTGGCACTTTACCATACCAGAATGTTTTCCTTTCCAGCAGTCTGTCTGCCTGCTCTTCTTATCTGGTTATACACCTGCTTGTCCATCTGCCTGGGTCTGCACTCAGCTGGCAGGTTATTAGGTACACTTATCTTAAACTAATGCAGTCTAATAAACAGTCTTATAATAAATTAAGGTAATAAAGTAGAGAGGTGTTGATTCCACTGTGTGCTAGTTTTTGATAATGTAGTCTCTGATGCTGTTCAGCTGTATGGCACTATACTAACCAGTGTTTTTATCTTTTAGGGGGCATCTCATTTACATCAGTGAGGACAGGCTAAATAACTAAAACACCGCTCTGTATGATGTTTTACAGAATAATAACAATTCTCTTTTGTATGTGTATCTAAACTTAGCCTGCACTCTGTGATAACATACTGTATGTCACATACCTAGGAGATACATTTCTATGATACATTAATGCAGCTTTAGTTGTTTGATTAAAGCTACAGTGTGTACCTTTTTCAACTTTTTTTCCAATTTTTTTTGTAGAAATCTGCTTCAAAACGTGTCTTAATGTGGAGAGATGCTGTCAAAGCCTCCTATGGCCCAGAATCATTGAACAGCACTGGCAGCAGTGTAGACATATTAGCTTCTAAAAGGTTTTGAGTGCGATTGACCTCTCCAACCAGTCAAAGATTTTCAGTTATTTCTGCCTGATCAGTAAGTTTTGTTGCATTCTCATTTCTTGTAATTTCACAACTACAAATATCTGAAGAGCTGGCAGGGCATGGTGGAGCATAGCAGATCCTAGTGGAGCAGAGTGGGTTGGTTTGGACTTTCGTGCTGTGCTACCTTAAGGGACATACTGTAGCTGTAAATGCACCAGATGTCTGGACACCATTATCCTTATCATTTGTGAGGTATGTGTGGCTTGGGAACAGTTTCTAAGTTTATGACCAGATGAACATTCACCTTAGAATCACTGATCTTTAATGATGTGTGATTGGACTTGTAGTGTGGAGACACTGCTCTCCCATGCTGACTTTCCCTGTACCTTTGTGCCGTGCATATACATGCTCAGCACAGGGGTCTCAGAGGCTGGGAGTTCTGCTTGGCTGCCCACATGGAGCCAGGCAATGTGATGAGTAGACAGACAGAGCAGCAGCATGAGGGGGAGGTAAAGGCATGTAGACAGGTGGAAACAGGATCTAAAGAAGTTGAAATGGACAGTCAAAAAGAGCGGGGTCACTACTCAACAGTTCCACATAATGAAGACTTCTCTAAAAGCGAAGGACAAGTACAAAAAAGGCCCCAGGCCCTGTAGATGGAAGTGTCCTATCATCGCCATTGTACAGTCATTTCCATCACGACTGTGCGATTCAGCTCTGTACACTGTCCCCTTATCTCTTCACTCTGCATTAGAGATCAACATCAAGACTGACTTAAAAAAATCTGTTAGCACAGCCATGTTATAAATCGAAACCATTTCTTCTCATCTTAACAACCTCTGACTACATTTCATGTCAGAATAGCTTTTTTTTTCCAGAAAATGTCCCCCTCAAATTCTGCTTCTAATTGAGCTGCACGGTTTTTCAGTTGTTTACTCTGGCAGTCAGAGCTCCCTGGAAACCCCTTAAATTCTCTTTTTGTCAGTTTCACCACCAGGGGTCAGTCTTGCTTTAAATCTTAACCTGTCAATATAGTGACTAGACTGAACTGTACAGAAACAGTCATGCATTCATTTTTGTGCCATGTCTAATATTTTGTTGTGTATATCTCATCAACACCTTTTTAAATATTTTATCTATAAGTGCCTCATAGAATTCATATTCTTCTGTGATGTATTTTTGTGTTTGTGCATGTTTATTTTTCTGTCCAATTCGATTCACTTACTAGGTATGACTACGATATGTTTGGTGTGAGTGTCAGGACTGACTGATAACTGGCTATGCTGTGTGCAAATTATGAATTCTCAGAACAGTCTCCTGTACATCTCTTTTCTCTCTGTCACCCAGCAGAGAACATATTCCCATATGGATGTGAGGGTGTGTGTTCATACTCTTTTGTGTGTGGGGGCTTGTGTGACTTCAGCTGTCTGACAGGACAGTGCTGGTCTGATACAAAAAGATGATGGGTGAGCCAGGTTTTGTCAGTAACAATATCCCAGATGGGTCCACTGTGGCTTGTGGTAGACAGAGGTCAGGTTCTGGTCAAGGAGTAAGGCTGAGGATATGATGCTCTTTTGCACACACAGATGTATTCATGCTAGTTTAAACTTACAAATGCACTTGAATGCACAACTGGGTAGGAGCAATAAAAACCACACATACCCAATGCCCAGAGGGGCCGAGACTATCTGACACCAACACCATGTGCTCTTTGTTGGGGGGTGGCTGTGGCTCAGGAGGTAGAGCGGGTCATTTCCTAACCGGAGGATTAGCGGTTCAACTCCTGGCTTGTCCAGTCAACATGTCAAAGTGTCCT